TGCCATCTTCTTCTTCCCGTTCTCGACGCCCCACCAGTACTGGCGGATCATACGAGTGAGCTCATCACATACTGATGCAGGTAATTTAAAGACACTCATGACATAAGTAGGTATAGCCTGTGCGACAGCCTTGATCAAAAACTCCTTATTCCCAGATGACACATATTGCTCACTCCAATCAATAAGTTTCTTGCGTAACCGATCCTGGATTGTTTCAAAGTTACCTTTATGTAATCTTCCCTCCGGGACCGGGAGGCCCAAATACTTAGGCTCAAAAACTTCCTGGGTTATCTCCAAGACCGACTTAACCTCATGTACCACAGTTGGCAAACAGTTTTCAGAGAAGAGAATGGAGCACTTCGACGGGTTAATTAATTGTCCAGTCGCCGTCGAATACATGTTCAACACACTCTTAACCAAATTAGCTTGCTGTTCCGAAGCTTGAAAAAACAGAATTGAGTCGTCTGCAAACAACAAATGTGAGATGACCGGAGCAGTCCTGCATATCTTGGCCCCTTGTAGGCCCTGTTCTCTCAGTGATTTGTGTACCAGGGCAGATAAAGCATCAGCCACAAAGAGAAAGAGAAAGGGTGATAAGGGGTCACCTTGGCGAAGCCCTCTCGAGGGGGAGAAAGGCTCCAGTAACTTGCCATTAAATTTCACAGAGTACTTCACAGATGTAACGCACGCCATCACCCGGGATATCCAGACATCACTGAAACCCCATTTGGACAGAGCCCTCTCCAAAAAATTCCAATCAACACGATCATAGGCCTTAGACAGATCCAGTTTGTAAGCACACAATGGTGGGGGATTAGCTCTGACATTCTGGATGTGATGAATACATTCAAATGCGATGATGGAGTTATCAGAAATAAGCCTCCCCGGAATGAAGGCACTCTGGTTTTCTGAAATAAGCTCATCCAGAAGCGGCCGAAGCCTGTTCACCATGCATTTAGAAACAATTTTATACACCACATTACATAAGCTAATGGGTCTGAAATCCTTGAGCTCTCTTGGATGGGGCACCTTGGGAATTAGCACAATGCTCGTGTCATTAACACCGTCTGGCATGACACCACTGGAAAAGAACTCCTGCACTGCTGCCACTATTTCCACCTTTAAAGTGGCCCAGTTCCGTTGGTAAAACCTTGCTGGGAACCCATCACACCCCGGGGCTTTCAACGGGCCAATCTGAAACGATGCATTTGATATCTCCTCCTCCATATACGCTCTGCATAAGGCCTCATTCATCTCCACCGAAACTTTAGGGGTGATAGTATCCAGTACCTCATTCGGATCCAATGTTGGATCTTTAGTAAAAACCTCTTTGAAGTATGATCTTGCCATTCTTTCCATCTCCGAAGGCGCCACGCACCACGAACCATCAGCTTTCATAAGTCTCTGTATAAGGTTTCGCCTCGCCCGCCAAACTGCCCGATGATGAAGATATTTTGTGTTCCGTTCCCCTTCCTTCAACCAAGTGATACGAGACCGTTGAAGCCACAACATCTCCTCACGATACAACAACTCATCTAGTTCATTCATTTTAGACCGGAGTTGAGCTCGGTCCGCTCCTGACAACTGCAGGTCAGTGAGTTGGCCTCGCAACCGTTCAATCTCTTTCAACACATTCCCAAAAGTAGCTTTACTCCATTGTTTCAAATCTCCCATGACCTGTTTTAGTGATGTGGCAACTGATCCCAAATCACCAGCAGGCCGGTACCTAGCCCATGCTTCAGAGATGATCGAAGGTAGTTTGACATCACACTCCCACATGATCTCATACCTGGATGCTGTCGGCCTGCGCCTTTGCTCCTGCACCCCCTCTAGATATAACAATAGTGGGCAATGATCCGAGCACGAAGTGGCTAAGTGCACAACTCTAGCCGCCGGAAAAAGATCTCGCAGTGCCTCATCCACACACGCCCTGTCGAGACGCACCTGAACATTGCGATGGCCATCCTGGCCATTATTGTATGTATAGGGGAGCCCCGAAAACCCTAGGTCTTGTAGCTCACAAGTTACCAAGCAATCTCTGAATACTTCCATCTGAGACTCCGATCTAGTCGTTCTTGAGAGATGTTCATGCTGCCACAATGCTTCATTGAAGTCTCCACACACCACCCAAGGATCCTGTGAGATTGCTCTCAGGCGACAAAGATGATCCCACATACGCTGACGATGTTCCATACACGGTTCACCATAAACAAAAGTTCCTCTCCAAGTAGAATCAGAACCCGCATCGTGAACCCTGATGTCAATAAATCTGTTACATGATTCGAGCACTATCACTGACAGCGTCTCCTCCCAGAACAAAGCAAGGCCACCACTACGTCCATCACTGCTAACACCATGAAAGCCCTTTAGGCCTAATCTCCACTTCAATTTCTCCACTTTAGATGCTTCTTGCCTAGTCTCACAGAGAAAGACTAGTTTGGGGTTGTTGGCTTTTGAGAGGGCCAAAACCTCACGAACTGTCCGGCGGTCCCCCCCCCCCCGGCTGTTCCATGACAGGATATTCATTGCGTCCGGCGGTCCTCCTCGAGGGAGGCCGCCGATATCTCATTGTTATCGCTATCCAGGTTTAGTTTCAACTTCTTGTTGCTTGAGTTACTTCCTATAGGTGAGGCGTCCCCCACCGGCTCAATTTCCTGACCATCAGTAATGGCCAACACCGTCTTTGGGGCGCCAGGAACACCCCCAGTGGCTTCCCGGCCTCCTCCAAGTTGAGCCTCCTCTTTGGAACAAGAACTCCATCAGTTCTGTTGCTAGTTTTCTTAATCAGGCTCGTTGCTGTGTCCATCACTTCGGCATCATATGGTGCATATTGCGATTCTGGTTTGCATGTCACCTTACCATCAGCCATCTTAGGCTCGTAACCTGTTGCTTTAGTAGACCGATCTTCTGGTCTAGGCATATTGGGAGCATCTGCATAGATCCAGTCTCCAAACTTGAGGTCTTTCTCCTCATGGATGCCCAGGCCACACTCTTTGTGATCATGACCAATCAGTCCGCAAAACTTACAGAACCTAGCAAGCTTCTCATATCGAACCAGGTAGACCTGGCGCTCCTTTGCACGAATGACACTTACAAACTTTGTGAGGGGGTTACGGATATCATGCTGCACCCTAACCCTAACATAGTCACCACGTGTGTTTTCGTTCAAACGCATCTCCATAATTTCTCCAGCATCTTTCAACAGCTTCTCCATGATGTTCTGTTTGCAGTAAGGATCCGGTAGCTTGTGAATCTGCAACCAGATGGGGATATGAAAGAATTCTACCTCCTCCGCCTTGCTAAAGCCATCATACGGGCACAAGAGCACCGCCATGTTACGGAAGAGCCAGGGCCTTGCTTCATCATGCGTTCCCAATCCCCAAACAAGATGCTTGGACAACGAATCGATTCGGGCCAACTGGCCGAAATCTTACTTCCTGGGCGGGGTTCCATGCCGCCCTCATGTCCTTATAGAAGGCTGACGGGCTGAAGTTCCTCCTAGTCTGAACCCTAGCTAGGGCCAGCCAGCGGACGCTTTCTTGGATCTCAGGGCCATCCACATCGATCTCCACATCAGCGAAATCATCGTCGTTCAGATCCAATTGTTCCAGAAAATCACCTAGATCCGATCGTGCAGTCGCGGCGGCGCCGCTGCCGCCGGTAGCGGAGTGGGCGTCGGAGGGGGACGCCATCACCGTTGCTGTCGTGGTGCGGAGGCAACGAGAGCAGGGGGGTGAGGACGGACGAGTACCAGGGTCGATCAGTGCTGGGTTGTCCGGGTAGAACTCAAAGACGATGGAGATCGCCTAAGAGGAGAGAAACCCTAGCCGCCAGGCGTTAGGGGAAAATCATCTTACGCCCCACACAGGCCATCCATAGAATTGCAACAACAATTTAATTTTAAGAACAATCCCCATATGAAGAACCGAGTTCAATCAGAGGAAACGATAGGTTAAAGTCCAATCAAGTACGAACATTTTGTTAATGCACTCGAAGGGTTTCACTGTATTCCTCTATACTCCTTCGGCGGGGGCGGAGCTACAGCAAGGCTACATGGGTTGTGACCCCCGCAGTGTAAATGAAAATCAGCGAGGTGTGAGAGCAAATTTGACCATGTGGCCCACCCAGCTTGCCATATATATCTCCGCTAATGTTGTATAGGTCGTGCGATCGAAACATCTCGATCATTTTTTTGCTATATTTGGAAAAAAATTGGTAGATAAATTAAACGGACGACCTCTCCAAGAAAAGCACGTGGAACTACTCGCAGGTTCGAACCATCCTGACCACTACTTTTGGAACCGGTTAATAAACCCGTAGAGAAACCGGGGCCATTATAATTGTGAAACCAGTGAACAAAAATGTAGGAAAATGAAACATATGACCTCTACAAGGAATGGGACGGAACTACAATGCACCTTGGCTCAGTGAGTGGGCGTTTCGGTATATTTTGCTCGGTAAACGCATCTACAATCGGGGATCGCTAATCGTGATTATAGGATGGTACCGTCAGTAACCGATACCCCTGAATCAACCATGGCATGTACGATTAATGATAGAATAAATAAATAGTTTGTCTAATTCACATCTAGATGTTTTCTAAGGATGTCATATCTAAGCTTCCACAAACAAGGTAGCAACAAGGAACAATTCAGCTCCATCAACACACAATTAAATATATTTAGCAACCAACTTGATCGGGTTCATCCCCCTAATCACTAAACTGTATTATGGCAATCAGGTAACTATGTACAAACTACAGACGACTCCTAGTAGTTTGATACCACGTTCTACGATTAATCAGCACTCCCTCCGCTCACAGGCCATCATTATGCCTTGCACGCATCAACAAACACACCAGGATACCTTAATGAACACAATCCTTAATCAAAGTTAATGAAGCAACTAATCGATCGAAGAGCTAGCATCAACCAAATAACCATCTATTGTTACCAGCAAACTGAGACGCTCCAATCCATCGAATAGATGGATGGATTCAATCATATCTTCCACATGTTGGAGTAGTCCATGAGAGGCTCGCCCCGGAACAGCTCCTCCAGATCGAAGTACGACCGCGACGACGCCATCAGGAACGAGGTGTCCGCGCCGGCGAGCGCCGCCGTGTCCAAGCCCAGCGAAGGGCTCAGCAGCGCGGACGAAGACGCTACCTCCGCCTTCGGCTTGCTGTACCTGCGGATCGCGACCTGCTGATCGCCCATAGCCTGGTAGGGCGAGTACCCGACGCCGCCAAGATTGCCGTTGGCCGTCGCCGGCATGAAGGAGTTTGGGCTCTGCATCTGCTGCGGCGGCTCCATCTTGATAGTCAAATGCTCAGTGTCCGCCTCAAGCGGCAGGGCGGCGCTGGAGGTGGAGCTCGAAGCGCCGGCGAAATCGTCGGCGCCAGACGGTGAGTCCATGAGCATCGGCAGGTCAGCGTTATCGAGCAGGTCGGCGTTGTTAAGCAAGTCATCATTGTTGAGCAAGTCATCGAGGAAGGCGAGCGGATCCTCCATCCGTGGAGCATTCCTCGCCCCCAAGTCTTTGTTGATCACCCGGCAAACAGCCCAATCATCCTGCGCGCACGCAACAGGCAGGTTGAGAAAACAACACGAAAAGAATAAGAAACGAGAAGCAAATCGGGAGCGCGACATGTGAGCGCGTGGTCCAGTCCAGCAGCATCTCCGGATGCTCCGGCGGTTCGACCGATCGACACGGAGACGGAGACGGGCCGGGACAATCGAATCTTGCCGGCCGTACCTTGGCGGTGCGGGGAAGGCGATGGGGCAGCCGGCCCTCGAGGCGGTACTCGTGCATCACCCACGGCGTCTTCCCGCCGCTGGGGGCGCGGCCGGTGTAGAAGACGAGCGTCTTCTTCATGCCGACGAGGACGGCGTCCCGGCCCTTGCCGCGGAAGATCTCTTTGTCCTTCCCCGTCGCCTTCCAGTAGCCGTTCTTCGTCGCCCGGTTGGTGCGCGTCCCCGTCGGGTACTTCCGGCCCCTGTGCACGAAGAAGAACCACTCCTTCTCGCCCATCTTCGCCAGGCCTGCAAGAAACGAACCGGCCATGAGCGCGCTGCAAATCAAATCGAAGAACGCTCTTGTGGAGGAGTAGTACTGCACTCACCAGGGAGCTCCCACGGCTCGTTCTTGTTGAGGTCGACGTCGGTGATCACTTGGCAGGAGAAGGATTCGCGGAGGACCTTGCGGGTGAGGTAGTGGGTGACCACCTCCTCGTCGGTGGGGTGGAACCGGAACCCCGGCGGAAGTGCCAGCTGCCGCTCCTCCGCCTCCAGATCCATCACCGCCGTCACGTCCGACATGGCTGCACCCTCTCCGGGATCTACTAGCTTGCCTTGCTACGCTGTGGAAGACCCTGATGGAACGAGAGCTGAGCAGGAGGAAGAGCTAGATCGAGATGTTAGAAGTGATTTTGTCTGAATGGTTTGGGGTTTGGAAGACCGGGCGGGGTGGGCTTATATAGCGTCAGATGGCTATTAATTAATTGCTTTAGTAGTAATTCCAAGGCAGTAAATTAATGCTGCTACCAAGCGGCTAATCATGTCTGAATGAATCGCTCATGAGAACATCCTGGATAACAACTGCAAGCCTCAAGTGTTAATAGGTTGCTACATATCCCAGAAAAAAAATTAAAAAATAGGTTGCTAACACTTTAAATAGCGGATGAAACCGACATAATTCATGGCGCTATCTCCGTTCGGAAACTGCCCCGCAATTTGAGTGCTATTGTGAATCGCGGGAGAAAACGCTGAAATCGTCGGAGATGGAGCATTTCCCGCTGCTAAATTATTTCTTCCGTGATTTTAATCCTTGGTTGCTAATGACACTACTTCAGGATAAGCACTGTGTAATCACCAAATGTTAACCTGCTAATGATAAATGCTAATTCTATTTGACACACACACATACACAGAGTTTGTTGCTAATGATTATGTACACACCGTTAGGTGGTTAGTAGTGCACACGTCAGTGTCACTGCTGTTTTTGTGTGTAACCGAGAAAAAGAGCGGCCGATAATTCGTCCCAGAATTCCACTTGTACAGTCGCCGTGAAAGATACCAGTAACAACGAGCGTTAACTTCTAGCTGTTTCTAGCGAGGCCGTCCATATGCAGCCACAGAAAGTTCAGAAAAACGGCCGACGAGTTCGGGAGTGAAAGCATACCGGTCTGCGTTGTCGAATGGAGGGTCAATTTTTTTTATGCAGTGTCAAGATTCTTTTCTCACTAACCGGACACGTACAGGTACTGAACAACGCACAAAATGGCACGTGAAATGCTCTATTTTTATGCAGTGCCTAATCAGGCCTAGTAGTTGAATCCACGGAGTTTATTGACGAGACAAATTTCTAACGGAGACGGTAGGTAGAAGACTTGTATAGTAAAATACAAACTGATTTGACATTGTCCAGGGGAAGAAATCCAAATGTTTGACAGTGAACAGTATGTACCACCATATATTCCACTTGCATTTTGCTCAGAGAAAATGCTTTGAGAAACTGTGACTGTTTTCTCTTACACGAGTAGTCCGCATCCGTTTTACGGTTGTCCCGAGTTTACCTTACAGAAATGTCTACCGTTGATATAAGTTTATCAATAATAAGTACCTCCGTCCTACAACTAGCTTGAAAACCGATCTTATATATACGGCGGAGGGAGTAATAGTTCTGTCTGTTACTGAGGGAAAAAAATGCAACCAAGTACTTAGCCACTAAGCACTAGTATGTTATCAACGATCTTTATCTTGACGCGCAGTATAGTGCTTGGATCGGCCAGGATATACACTTATTTATGTACGCAAAGACTAAATCTTGAGTGCATTAAATGCACTTGGAATTAACGTTCCTGTCTCTTATAATCAATTTGATTGTGTAGTGGGAGCTTCTGAAAAATCCGGCCATGACGCTGCGGAGCCGCCGAATGCTTATGTCAGGCGTTGGCGAACGGGTATGCTGCCGTGGTTGGTCCAATCACAAGTCACAGGAGTATCTGGAAAAATATATATGTGTAATTAATTCAGCAAATCATGCCATAGGTGTAAACTAGATACAGTTGCAACGTATGCAGTTTCCTGGACATTTCTTCGCCTGTCCATGCCCTAGCTGCCTTTTCTGAGGCTGAAATATTATGCCATATCTGCAATCCATCCTAAATAGAAAATATCATCTAAATTTTGCATTTGAAGTAATAAGCTTGCGTGGAAAAATTCAGCAGTTCATTGGCACACAAAATCCAGCAGTTTCCTCGCACACAGCAATTCAGAAACCAGTGAGTTCAGAACAATACCGAAGTGGAAGAAGATAATAAGATACATGTATGCAATCATCAATGTATGATCAGTACTCCCTCCGTCCGGGTGTATAAGTCATTCGCGTAGTTCTAGGTCATCGATTTGAGGAATTAAATATGTGTTATATGTCATGAAAAGTATACCACTAGATTTCCACACGGATGTAGTTTGTAAATATATATTTTTTGTCACATATAATACATATTTAGATAGTTAAATTATCGACCTAGAACTACGCGAATGACTTATACACCGGGACGGAGGTAGTACTCTAATTACCAAGCTATTTTGCGGCTAACACTTCCATAATTGCTCATGGCTTTGTTGCTAGAAGCTGCACGACGGGGAATCTCGATTCACAAATATACGGCGTGGTGGTGGGTGGACATTATCAGTTTCCGGAAGCAGACAAGTCTTCCTTATCATTCCTGGACAGCAACAGTGTACCTTCCTTAGAGATCACGGATATGGATTGAAATGAAAGTTTTGTTGGCATTAAATTCTCACAACGTGGCATATAATATCAGTGAGAAGGGGAGAGAGATTCTGGCAATGTTTTACTCCAAAGTCGGGCAATTTTAAACGTGATTTTTATATTGCTGTGGTCTGCCACGATCGGAGGGCGAGGCCGAGTGAATTGCAAAAAACATCGACACTTCAGGCTAGGTTTGCAGAAACCACACATTTACGGAATTGTGCCAACAAGCATTAATTTTTTTTATAATTTTTTGCAAAAAACACTAGTCGCCGGCATAGACCGTTTTAAGCATGATTATGACAAATGGGTCCCGCCAGAAGGGGTGACGTGGCACAACATAACGGTTCACAAATAGACAGAATAACAGGGACTGATTTGAAAAAGAGCCTGAGAGGATAAGGCCATCTCCTCAGCCGTGCGCACGAGCTCCCGGCCGGCGAGCTCGGCATGGACGACGGCTCTGCGACGCCCCGCCTCCTTCTCCTTCTCCTCCTCTATTCCCCCGCCCCCACCTTCCTCCCACTGCCTGGCCTCGGCCTCCCCTTGTTGCTCACCTGCATCGGCTCCGGCAAGGAGAAGAGGAGGCGCGACAAACGGCGGCCATGGATGAGCTCCGGCCGGAGCTGCGCATCAACGAGGCAAGTCCACTAACGGTGGGCATGGAGGTGCGGTCCATGTCCCTCGACCGTGAGCTCCGCTGCCGGCGGTGCCCTCCCCTATCTCTCCCATCTCTCTCTGAGGTCGGTACCTTCCCCAATCTCTCCCATCTCTCTCTGATGCGTGCCTGATGCTCAAGCCGACGATGCCGGAGCTCAATCATGGCTGCCCGATGCCCAAGCTGGATCAGCCGGAGCTCATCCATGGCCGCTAATGCCCAAGCTGGATCAGCCGGAGCTCATCCATGGCCGCTGATGCTCAAGCCGCCGCTGGAGCTCCATTGCCTCGCCGTCCTAACCGACACCGCCGCTGGATCCACGCCCTCCTGCCCGTCCCAGATCACGCCGGACCTCCCCTGTGCCCCGCCGCCGGCGTCCACCACCAGGGCGGTGGGATGTAATTGGGATTGGCCGCCGGCGTGCACCACGGGTCTGGAGGACCCGATTGCTTTTTTTTTTCAGGGGTCCTTTTGCAAAATAAAACTGTAGCGGGATGTAATTGACTATTTTTTGCCACGTCACCCTTTTTGGCGGGACCCATCTGTCATAATCGTGCTCACAACGGCCTAAGCCGGTGACTACTTTTTTTGCAAAAAAAATATGAAAAAAATTAGTGCTTTTTGGCACAATTCCGTAAATGTGTGGTTCCTGCAAACCTAGCCTGAAGTGTCGATGTTTTTTGCAATTCACTCGCCGTGGCCCGTGGCCAGGGACTGATCGATTTGCTTGGTCCCAAAGGGCAGAAACGAAATGGAAATGCATGGCAGATGTAAAACCCTTCTCACCTAAGCATATGTTGCTGATCTAGTACCATCCTTTTTGCTTGATTCCTCTCTCTTTTTTCGTAGCCAAAAGTAAGAAAGATAATTTGCTCTTTTTGTCCGGGCACGGGCGTAGTGCTATTTGTGCGTGAAGGATGCAATCCACTGCGAAGAAACTTGTATGTTCACTAGTGCTAGCATAGTAGTAGTATGCGCTACTGCTGGTATCCCGTAGGATATATTTTTTGCTAGTGGCCCACAAAAAGCATTCTTCAGTTGAGTAACTCCTG